GAGGCAGCGAGGCACGCTCGAGAGGCCGTCCACCGTGGTCCGCACCTGGGGCCCTCCTCCTGGTACCTCCGTGCCTGCTCTGCTGGCGCCTGCACTGCAGCGGCCCGGCCAACGCCAACAGCACCAATCGCGTTCAAACACGAGGCTCGGCCTCGCATGGAGTGCCCGGGGAGAGCGTCGGCGAGTCTCGAGTGATTCTCCGAGCGCGAGACTTTGCTCCCCGATGTGAGCCGAGCGTTGTCGGCTTGCTTTTGCTGGGCGCCCCGCCCCGCTCTCGCCACGGCCGGGCCTCGGCCCCCAATCCCCGGCCATCCGCCTTTTGTTTTGCGAATCCGCTTTTGGACCTAATCAAGCAGCGGATGTGTGGGCGCCACATCCGGGGGGGGGGGGGGGGGGCTTGGAAGGGGACGACGGGACGGACGACAGTGCAGCGAAGCCAGGATGGGGGAAAGGCACAGCAGGAAATTAGGATGAGCACTTGGACGACGCAGGAAAATAGTGAGGGAACGCGAGTACCAGACCAGGCCCACCCTGCCCCACCCCGCCCCGCCCCCGCGCGTGGAATTCGCAACGACAATAAAGGACGAGGCCGGCGGAGAAATAAACAGAACCTTTAATAAGGCAGACCGATAAAACGGCAATTTCCTGCCTCTTCATAATGAAAACGGGGCGGAGAACCAGGCGAGCCGGGCGAGGCAACAACGGGGTGGCCGCAGTGTACTTGCAGCGACCCGGCCCGGCCCCGCCCCGCTTCGCCTCGCCCCGCGGGATCGAATACCAGCCAAACAATTTGCTTTGCCAGATAATTGCGACGCAGCCGCGGGCCTGAGCCAACAGGCGGCCAATGTGACCGCACTGCGAGCCGCACTGCCACGAGTGCGCCGTGTGCAGCCTAGGGTGCCCAGAGTGCCCAGGGTGGCCAGAGTGCCCAGAGAGCCCAGGGTGCCCAGGTTGCCCCACCCTTCCGCAGCCCTCCCGGTGCGTTCCACGTCGGCCAGCCCAGGCCAGCCCAGACCAGCACTCGCGAAAGGCTCGGCCGCTCGATATGAAAAATATTTGCTCTCCGAGGGGTTGTGTTTGCCGCGGCCACCGATGCGACGCGAAGAACCGCCCCGCCCCGCCTCGGCCGCCCCGCCGAACCGCAGACAGTGGAGCGAAAACGCGTGTTTGTGTTTACGGTCACGCATCCAGGCAGGATCCAGGGACCGCTGCCGCCGCTACCTCCGCCTCACTTTCCACCCGCAAAAGCTAGCTGCACTCTAAATGTTGTACAGTGAAGATTCTCCATATTATGGTCAAAATGTTCCTTATTATGGTGGTGCAGCTGACTACTTCGTAACATACCATTGAGAATTCACTGTACCTTATAGACATTTTGACGAATTTTGTTGGTACTATGGAGAAAATCTTCACCATATTATATATGTTGGTGCTGCCTTTCACCGTAAGACATTTACAGTGTGGGGCGGTGGCAGGTTAGGTTGGGCTGGCTTGGGTTGGGCGCGATCTCGCCCGGACTCGGGACGCGACGACAGCAAGACGGCAGGACACAGCCGACGGCAGCGGGGCCGGCGGCGTGGAAAATGAACGGGCACCACTCGGCGCCCGTAAATGGGGGGCCATTTAAACTAAACGCGGACGTTATTCTGCATAACGCGCGTGACATGGCCCGGAGCGCACAGTGGACTTGCCAGAAGACCAGTGGAGGGGGCCAAAACACGCGTTTTGAGCTCCAGAGTCGCTGAAGGGGACTCGAGCCGAACGTGTGACCCCACCAATGGATTCCTCGTTCGGAGAGCAATCCATTGGTGGGGTCGCACGTTGGTTCGGAGCCCCGCTGAGCGACTCTAGAGCTCAAAACGCGTGTAGAGTTTTGGCCGCCTTCACCCGTCTTCTGCGGCAAATCCACTGTAGAGCGACGTAGAGCCTGCCGGTGATGGAGACAGAGCAAGGGGATTTGGCTCCTAGATAGCCGCCCGGAAAAAATCCACTCATTGCCGCTCTAAGTAGGCAAACCGAGCTGCTTTGCACCACCCCTTCCCAGGCCGACGCCACTGGATCCGCCACTGGCTGCAGCAGGCTTGCTTACTGGGCTGCTTCTCCATTCCGTCTCGCGGAGTCAAAGGTCATCAGGGAGGCCGCGCGGCCGCGCAAACACAAAAATATTCTCTAGCTCTCGGCCCCTTGCCGCGCCCGGCACAGGCGGCGCGGGACTGGGGATGGTGTCCGTTCCGTCTTTGCGCTCTTCTGCCCCCTGTCTCCTCCGCTCCTTTCTCCGGCCCATCAAAGAGGCCTGCCTGCCTGCCTGCCTGCCTGCCTGCCTGGCGGCGAAGAGGCGCGGCTATTCATCGCCGAAAGGGGCAAACGAGAAAAAAACAACAACAAGAAAGGATCCAAAGAAAATGTTGCGAAACAAAAGCGGGCCGTTTCAACGGCATCCTCGAGCGGCGGCCTTCCTCCCAACAGTCGCCGCGTCAAAACCGAACGACCGAAAGGCGGGGCAGAGTTTCCCATTAAGTCACGTAACGAGGCGAGGGGGAGGGGAATCTTTAATTGCATGTTGCGGCCCATTCTCCCATCAGCAGGTGGCTGGCTGGAAAAGAAGGGGCAGGGGACAGGACGGCCTCTCACAGCCGGATTAAGTTGATCCGTTCGCCACCAATACCCCCGGCCCGCCGCGAGGCCACGGCCTTGGCCACGGCCTTGGCCACGGCGGCCACGATGTGTACCTCGCGCGCTAAACGGCGCGGCCGGGACTCGAACCGCGGTCACGGCGTACCGCGGTTTGAGGTTTTCCGCGCCAGACACCGCGGCTATGCGGCTCGCTGCTGCCCGGCCGAGGTTGGCAAACTGTGACGCATGGCGGACTACACCGCGGACGGGCACCCCGTCGACGGCGTCCTCCTCCGCCACGTCATCGTCCTCGCGCCCGGGGTTCATGTGCACACGGGGGTGGCAGCAGCGCGGCGGCAGGATGATCCCGAAAGCATTGATGCAGGAGGCGGCATAATAAAACAAGGAGCGGCAAAAAGTTGCAAAAACACAACGGAGGTACTCCGGGCGGTGGGGCGGGGCGGGGCGGGGCGGGGCGGGGCGGGCGTACACGCCCGGAACGAAATAACGAGCACTCGTCTCCGGTTGCTCCGGTCGCATGATCGATACCTGCAGCAACCTGGATCGTGGAGCAACCCCGCTTTGGGGGCGGCGGCATCCAAAGCCCCAACCCCGACCTGGATTTTAAAACCCCTTTTTTTTTGTTCCCTCTCTCTTTTATTTATATATTTTTTTCCAATGCTGCAAAGGGAAAATTGGAGAAAGGCGCGCCGCGCCCCTGACCCTCCCGCAGCACGACCTCTATTCAAATGAGCAATAAAAGGCAGCACGCTCTTGTTGTTTTTCTTCCCCCTTTGGTCGTTTGTTTTTGTTTTTATTGCGCCTTGTGTTGAGGAGCCCGTCCAGCTCCCGGTTCGGCCCCTTCGGCCCCGCGCACGCCGCGCACCTCGTGGCCGCTCGGCCCGTAAAGCCACGCATGTTTGTCCTCCCCGAAGAGAAAAAATAAATAAATATTCATTTTTTGTTGTTGTTGTTGCTGTGTTTACATTTCTTCTGACAGCTCAGTTGGCCAACGGGGTGGACGGAGGCTGGCTTCCCCGTGACTGTGTGACTCCCCCCTCCCCTCACAGACACACACACACACACACACACACGCGCGCGCGCGCGCGCACAGCGCACACTATTACAGCGCCCATTCGAGTTCTCAAAACGCCCTGCGGCAGTACAACGAAACACAGGGAACCAGAACGCACGCGCGCCGTCTCTCTCCCACTATCGCAGTGGAACGGCGCGCGTTGTGGCGGCCGATGTAACCTATTGACACGATTCCTGCGCCGATTTATCGGTGGAAGGGGCTCCGTCCGCAGCGCAGTGGGCCAGAGTGGGCGCACAGAGACGCGGAGTGAGTGGTGCCTCCGCCTCCCCGTCCGCGATGAGAAATGAAAGCGAGCGGGCGGCCTGCAGCGCCTGTAGCCTTCGCCAAGGGCCTTCGCACCGCCGCCATGCTGCCATCCCTTGGCCCACTTTGTTTCATTAATTGCGGCCATTTGCTGCAATAGTTCCCCCACCCCCTCCCCTCTATCTCCCTTTCTGTCCCTCTACCGTGCCGCCTCGTCGGGCTCATCGGCCGCTCACCGGACCGTCCCGTCCAGCGAGTCCAGCGGCGGCAGCGCTACGGTGATGCTCCCGTGCACTTGACCTTGACGGCGGGGCTTCGATCAGACGCACTCCAACGCTCGCTCGCTCGCTCACTCACTCACTCACTCGCTCGCTCACTCACTCACTCACTCACTCACTCACTCACTCACTCACTCACTCACTCACTCGCTCACTCACTCACTCACTCGCTCACTCACTCACTCGCTCACTCACTCACTCGCTCACTCACTCACTCGCTCACTCACACACTCACACACACACGGGCATAAATGACCGGTGGAGGGGGCGGTCTGGCCCATGCAGGCCATCAATAACAAAACGCGTCGTTGCGTAATGGAAAGTAAACTCTTGTGTCGGCGCTGCCAACATCGCAACACAAAACAACATGAATACAACATGCCGGACCGGCTCAGGCTGCCAGTATCCCTGCCTGGCTGGCTGGCTGGCTGCCTGGCTGGCTGCCTGGCTGCCTGCCTGCCTGCCTGCCACATAAAGGCGGACTGGTTATTGCGATGCCATTCGCCTCGCGTGCTTCGCTTGTCCGATGCACCACTGTGAAAGGTTCGGTTGTCAATTGATGACAATTAATGTAAAGGCTATGTCATCAAACCAGTCGATGACATTTTTGTCACGTCAATGCTGTAAGTTGTCACGTTAGTGCACTTTTGATTTAAAAAATTTTCAGCACTTTTGTCACGACGTTGCTATAATTTTCAAGTGATGGAAACGTCAACTCCACTGCTTTGACGTGTCCATGGGTTTGTTGTTTGTTTTTACGGTGCACTCACCTGGGGGTCCGCGCCGCCCTCGTAGCGCACCTCCACGGAGCCGGCCAGCACGGCGTACCAGGACGAGCCGGGGTCGCCCTGCCGGAACACTGCAACAGAAAGCAACCCACAGTCAGCCGACCGCTCTGTCGTCGTCACCCTGTCTCTGTCGCACGCTGTCGCACGTACCGTAAGGGCGCGAGAGAGACAGCGAGCGACAACTTTTTTCTGAATCAACCGACAGGACGCTTGAGGCCATGGCCTGCAGCCTCTCCAGGCGCGGATCAGGTGGCGGGGAAGGACCCCCCCGGTCGCCAGATAGCCTCGTGGAAGGTACGCTAAGCGCTTTGCCCCTGTAAGTAGGCAAAAAAGAGCTACTCCGCCCCTCCCTCCCCCCTCCCCCGACCCTCTCCGCGTCGCTCCGCGTGCAGCCTCGTTCATTTCAACAGCGGCCTTGTTCCTCGTCCTTTCTGTTTGCCGGATCCCCGCGTCCCGCCACGTCCCGCCGCGTCCACATCAAAGCCCGGCCGAACTGCTAAAACAGCTTGGGCGCTCCAACAGCTTCCCAGCGGCCCTCGCAGGGGTCGGCCGATCGGAGAGGGGTCTTGTAGGAGCGGGTCTTGAAGGGCCGAGCTGGCAGAGCCCGATCGACTGGAAGAATGAACCTTATACCCTAGCGGGTGGCGGGCCGGGGCGGGGCGGGGCGGGGCGGGGCGAACGCCAGACCGCACGGGCATGTGTGCCTGACACACCGCTCCAGAAATACCCTTTTAGTACCCTTCGGAATTTCCAAGTGGACGGCATGGCATTCCAAGGGCCAGCGGGGCCTGGGGCCAACCACCCCGCGCGCCGAGTCTGGAGAGCCTGGCTGGGCAGACGCACACACGCCTCTCTCTCTCTCTCTCTCTCTCTCTCTCTCTCTCTCTCTCTCTCTCTCTCTCTCTCTCTCTCTCTCTCTCTCTCTCGCTCTCGGTGTCAGGTGACCCGGAAAGCCTTTGGTGTGAAGTGAACGCCGGGCGGCGAGCCGGGCGGCGTTACCGCGTCCTCAAGGGCTTCCAGAAGGCGAGGGTCAGCGCGTCGCGACGTCCTCCGTATCCTCGGGCCTCGCCCCGCCCCGCCTCACCCGCCTCACCCCGCCTCACCCCGCCTCACCCCGCCTCACCCCGCCTCACCCCGCCCCGCCCCGCCTCACCCCGCCCCGCCTCACCCCGCCTCACCCCGCCTCAGCGCGCCCCGCCCTCGCGACACCACCCACCCTCTCCGACCGTGAAATTTTAATACGGTGACTGTCTTCGCGCCGCGCCAGCCGAGCGATGCAGAAGATCTTTGTCGCTCTGTCTCTGTCGCACCCTCACGGAGAGCCCCATGAGTGCGAGAGAGACAGAGCGACGAACCGATATTCCGAATCCGGCTGGCGCGATGCGTCGCGTCATTGGGACGCCAACTTCACTATTTTTTTTTTGCCGTGTCCATCAAGAACATTTCTCCCATGATTGTCTGGAGAAAGATTACCGACGGCGGGGGCTGGAGCGTCTCTTGAGAGCATCGGTCCGACGGACGGTGCGGGGGCGGCGGGGGCGGCGGGGGCGGCGGGGGCGGCGGGGGCGGCGGGGGCGGCGGGGGCGGCGGGGGCGGCGGGGGCGGCGGGGGCGGCGGGGGCGGCGGGGGCGGCGGGGGCGGCGGGGGCGGCGGGGGCGGCGGGGGCGGCGGGGGGCGGCGGGGGCGGCGGGGGCGGCGGGGGCGGCGGGGGGCGGCGGGGGGCGGCGGGGGCGGCGGGGGCGGCGGGGGCGGCGGGGGCGGCGGGGGCGGCGGGGGCGGCGGGGGCGGCGGGGGCGGCGGGGGCGGCGGGGGCGGCGGGGGCGGCGGGGGCGGCGGGGGCGGGCCTGACACCGCCACGTTAAACTAACCCCGTCCGCCTCGTCTCGCTCCGCGGCAGGCGAGGCAGACGAGGCGCAGTCGTTTTCGTCGCTCCGTCTCTCTCGCACTCATGGGGCGTCCCGTTTAGGTGCGAGAGAGACGGAGCGACGAAAAACGACTCCCGGAATCAGTCTGCTGAACCGATCGGCCAGAGATTACATCGAGCGGCCGGCCGGCCTCGGCCCGGCCCGGGCCGGCATCACTGGGAAACGGCGCGATGGACCGTGAAACAGAGAGGGTGAAAAAGAACAGAATCAAAAAGAGAATCCACGCCGCTCCACGCTGCAACGCGTCGATCTGTCGTGCGATTGTCCTGCAGCGAGGTCTTCAGGGAGTTGGCAGACAGACAGACAGACAGACAGACAGACAGACAGACAGACAGACAGACAGACAGACAGGCGGACGGACCTGTCGAGCAGACCGGCTGCCCTTCAGGGAGCAGTGCTGGAAGCGTGCCCATGGAGGACGCCGCGGTGGACTCGTAAACCGGCGGCAGGACACGCGTAAAAAGGATCCGTCATCCAGGGCCGTGCAGTCGTGCTCAGCGGGGAGAGTGACGCACCGCAGTGGGCCAGAAGACCGGTGGAGGCGCACAAAGCTCCAGACACATTTTGAGCTCCTGAGTCGCTAAATAGGACTCGAACCGAGCGTGTGACCCCACCAATGGATTGCTCTCCGAACGAGGAATCCACTGGTGGAATCACATGCTCGTTTTGAGTCCTGTTTAGCGACTCTGGTGCTCAAAAAGCGTCCGCAGGCTTTTGAACGCCTCCACCGGTCTACTGGCCCACTGTCCGCACCTGGTGGGCTCTTTGGCAAAGTGACTGGGGTTCAGCCAGGCGAGTGGTCGCAGGCGCGGTTGCGTTTGGGAGGGTCCTGGTTCGAGTCCCACCAAAGCCAGCCGCCGTTCCATTTTTTTTTTCGGTGGTTGGGAATGCCTGGTGGGCCGGTGCCTCGCTTTTGGCTTGAAGGGCCGTTATAATGAAGTAGGTAACTAGTTTGGTGCGCGGCGCGGCGGCGCGGCGGCGCGGTTCACGGTGGGGCAGGGGCGCCTGCCGCCGTGACGGCGCGGCGCAAAAACTTGGGGCGACCTCGCGGCCACGCCGCCGGAAGCAAAGTCTTGATAAGGCGGGGGCGAGGCGAGGCGGCGATGCTGTTGTAACGTGACAACACGAAGGAAAAAGATATCAAAAAATAAATGAAACAAACAAGAGCCATTTAATGACGAGGGCAGACACGACACGTCCTCCAAAGTCGTGACCGAGAGGGAGTGGGACGCGTCGCTGATGATGTTTTCTTTTTACGCCGGCTCCGTAAGTAAATTACAAGAGGTGTAAAAATTCGGTATTTTTACGAGGAGCCTCTCTCTCTCTCTCTCTCTCTCTCTCTCTCTCTCTCTCTCTCTCTCTCTCTCTCTCTCTCTCTCTCTCTCGCTGAGGT